TTCTTCTTACTTTAGAACTTCTAATCGTTGCCTTCTTGTGGTGTCGTGCCCCTTTAATGTTGACGTTGGCAAAACCTTGCGCAGTGTTCTTTGTAGATGTTTGTTTCTCATCTTCCGTATCATGTTTTGGCGTATGCTTTTGCTTTTGGCAGGGAACGTTGAACAGAACCCTGGCCCGAATGAGCGTTGTGAATTGGGCACTCAGACTGATTCTTGCGAGTGCTCAACAGTGCTTCAGTCGGTACTGCGCATCGAACAGGGGCAATTGCAGCTGCTGACAGCATTTCAAGTCATGCAGCAATGGCAACAGACTGTTGAATGTAAGATGACGGGTCTGGAGGAAAAGGTAACTTGCCTCGAACAGCGCTGTCCGCTGTCTATGGATAATGTAATTGGTATGTCTCAAGATATCGCTGCATTGAAAGCTGCTGCGGACGATGCTGAAAACAGACTATGTAGAAATAACCTTCTTTTCTTCGGCTTGCCAGACAATCAATCGGAAACATGGGATCAATCAGAAGACGTGGTGCTATCTATGGTTGCTGAAACTGTGGGCATCGTGATTGAGAAAACAAATATTGAAGGAGCTCACAGAATCGGTCGCTTTCAATCCAACAAAAACCGCCCCATTTATTGTGAAATTTTGTCGCTTTAAAGACAAAGAGACTATTCTTGCCCAGGGGCATACGCTCAAATCTACTCTGTATGCTGTGCGGGGGGATTTTTCTGCTCCGATCCGTCATGCCCCCGGGAAACTGCTTGCCTTTGCAAAACAACAAGAGTCGCCATACAAACTGCGGTATGACAAGCTGTTGCTCGGCGGCTGCTGTTACATCTATGATACTTCTTCTGACACCGTCATCTAGTCAAGAAGATAACTAATATCGCAATTTGAGACAAGCAGCGGCGGTGGAGCACTTACTTGTGCATCCCGCGGATTCACCCTGCGCCCCTCGGCCTAGCGAGACAACTGTTTTGCTTGTCAACTGTCGAAGCATTAAAGATAAGGCCGATTCACTCGCTGGCCTTACCATCTCGGTACAAGCTCACATTATCATTGGCACTGAATCCTGGCTGGATGATAGCGTCAGTGATGCTAAAGTTTTCCCTTCCTCATTTCAAGTTTACAGACGCGAACAGGACACCCATGGTGGTAGCGTTTTCCTACTCATTGATAAATCCTTCCCAAGCGCACCTGTAGAAACTAATGATAATTGTGAGACTGTGTGGTGCAAAATCATTTTCACAATGGTGAACATATCTCGTTCGGCGCTTTTTATCGTAGCCCTAGTGGGGGCAGCCTTTCTCCTTTCAAATCGCTTTCTCATACAATGTTGAGTTTAAATTCGAATTTTTTATTGGGCGGTGATTTCAATATAACTGATATCCAGTGGACAAACAATTCACCCGCGCTTACTTGCCGCTCTGCACTTTCCCTTGAATTTAGTTCTATGATCGCCACTAACGGTCTTTATCAATTTGTAGATTTCCCCACACGTCGCACAGGTGACTATGCATCAATGATCGCCACTAACGGTCTTTATCAGTTTGTAGATTTCCCCACGCATCGCGCAGGTGACTATGCATCAATGCTTTTTTCCAATTCCACCAGTTTAGTCCAATCAGTCTTACCAATTCCAGGTATAAGTGACCATGACGGTATCCTAGCTAAAGTTTCTTTTGGACGACCAATGGTCGTGCTTTCCGCTCCTCGGAAGGTATACATTTTCGATAGAGGTAATTATGGCTTGATTACGCATAATCTGGAAGATACATTTGAGGAGTTTGTGGCATTCAGTGCCATGTCCAGTGTTGAAAATCCTTGGAATCTATTTAAAAACAACTTAGTATCGGTTATTGATTGTCACATACAGTCAAAAACCGTTTCGGGTAAAAAAGGACACAGCAAGCCGCGGTTTACCAGTGAGATCAAGCGCTTACTGAATCGCAGATGTCGCCTCTTTCGGAGGTACCTAAGCCAGAGGACAGATGAAATATTTAAAAGGCTAGATATTCTGGGGAATGAAATTAAACTGAAAATAAAAAGTGCCAAAGATTACTCTTATTCCTCCCTAGGTGAAAAGCTTAGGCGTAGTTCAAAAGAGGGAAATGTGGAAGTTTGTAAAATCTAATGGCAAAGAAGATAGTACTATCTCTCCTATTTTAGATGAACAAGGTTATGTAATTAATGATATCGACAAAGCGAACTGTTTCAATGATTACTTTCAGTCAGCTTTTGCAGTTACTACAAGAAACATACCTTCGGAACCAGCTCCTTGTAATTTTGAGGCTATGTCAGATATCACTGTATCGTATGATGGAGTTGTCAAACTTCTTTCTGAACTAAAAGCTAACTCTTCCACTGGGCCAGATCATATACCTTGTTCGGTTTTGAAATCTTGTGCACCCATTATTGCCAAGTTTCTGGTTGTCTTGTTTAATTATCCCTGTCGTCAAAGGAACTGCCTCAAGAATGGAAATTCGCGAATGTCGTTCCTGTTCCCGTTCTTTGATTTCCAACTATAGACCCATTTCACTAACCAGCGTGTGTTTCAAGAGTGGTCCCCGTTCTTTGGTTTCCAACTATAGACCCATTTCACTAACCAGCTTGTGTTGGAAGACTTTTGAACATATAATTTACTCTAACATATTTCATCAATTGCAAGCAAATAATTTTTTTGTCCAGTTTAAACATGACTTTAGGGCAGGGTTCTCTTGCGTCACTCAGTTAGTCGAATATTCATATGATGTGTTTTCTTCTTTTGATCCTGGGAAGCAGGTTGACTGTATACTGTTAGAATTTAGTAAGGCTTTTGATACCGTGCCACACTCGTTATTGCTTTTAAAACTCTCATCTTTAGGTTTACCTGTTTCTGTCCTTGGTTGCATAGCAGACTACCTTATTAGTCGCTCCCAAAAAGTAGTCATTAATGGCTCAGAATCTTACTTTGTTTCTGTAACGTCGGGTGTTCCCCAAGGATCCGTGCTTGGTCCGCTTCTGTTTTTAACTCATATAAATGATATAGGCTTTGGAACTACCTCCAGAATAAGATTATATGCAGATGATTGTGTGTTATACAGGGATATAAGTAACCAGGACGATGCTGCCGCTTTACAAACTGATCTCGATCAAACACTCACATGGTGCAACAAATGGGAAATGAAACTGAATTTTGCAAAGTGTAATTGCATCCACTTTAGCAAAAAGCGTCTAAACATAGATACTAATTACTGTCTAGATGCAAATCAGACTACCTTGACGAAGGATGTGAAGTATTTGGGTGTTATTTTTTCATCTAACCTAACGTAGAGTAGTCATGCTGAATTTATAACGATGAAAGCAGGACGGGTACTTAACTTAATAAAGAAAAACTTTAAATACGCACCTCGTGACGTCAAAGAAACATTATACATTTCTAACATACGTTCTCTCTTACAGTATGTGGTTGTAGTATGGGATTCCGACACTAAAACCTTAATTAATAAACTTGAGGCCATCCAAAATCGCTCTGTCCGTTCTGTTACTAATTCTTATTGTTTTCATACCAGTGTCACTGCATTAAAAAAATCATTGTCATGGGACTCGCTCGAACTCTGTCGGAGGTTATCAAGGTACTCTTTTCTGAATAAAGTGGTTCGTGGACGTACCGGCATTGATAAGAACATCTACCTAAAACCACCTACTTTTACTTCCCAGAGATTAGACCACTCGAAGAAAATAGGCAAATATCATGCCGCATATCTGTTTTTCAATCGTCATTTTTCCTACGAACAATAAATCAGTGGAATAGGCTCCCCAAAGCTGTGGTTTCGGCTTCGGATGGAACATTTGATTGTCTTTTAAGTCTTTACTTACACGAGAATGATCCATGACTAATGTATTGTTTTGCACTGTGCTGATGTTAGCAGCTTACAGTAGATACATGTAGGTTGTGTTCAAATGTTTTTTGTGCGTGTGTGTGATTGCGCATTGTATTACTTGTAGCAGATGTCACCATGCATTAATATTTTTTGCATCTCCATTTGTGTATTTGTTGTGTTAACATGTAAGTTACCCCCCTACAATAATGCCTCCAAGGCGAAATGTAGGTAACGAATAAATAAATAAATAAATAGAACTCTCTAGAGCAGGAAAGGGGCGAATCTTTGTAAATTACATTCCTCATCCAAGCGCCAATCCCAGCGACAGCGAACATCCGAAGACAGTGCACTCTCCGACGACACACTTTTGGCGCCGTTAATCTCACGGCATGTCGCATGCCCGCTCTACTCTGTGCCCAAGCGGGAGTGTCCTCCTCTCCCGCTGAATTTGCGCCGCGCACGCGCCTCCGCCGATTTTGGCACAAGTAACGCCATCTCGTGGTCTAGTGGCGAATCGTGGGTTTTGGTACCTTTCGTGTCGTCGATGTGTTTTTGTACCTTTCGTGTTTTCATACTTTTCGTGTCAGCGACGTGCTTTTGCTCGAGGGCTTTGAAGGCCGACTGATTGATGAGGCATATATAGCTTTCGCTTTAGTAAAGAAGTAATACCATAAAACACCGAGCAAGCTCCCACCCAAAATAGGAAAATAGGTCCAAAGCAAAAGTGCAAAAAGGATACCGGTAGGGTGGGCTTTCCCGCTTTGCGCCAGGATGCCCGGAGAAGTGGCTGACGAAAAGGAGCGCCTCAGTTAGCTAGGCAAGCTCAGGAGTCTGGCGTGGGCACTTGATATGTCCTTCATTTAGTTTTAAAACTCTTTCAAAAGTAGTGGTTAAGCGATTATTGTGGCCCGGGCACATGCTCAGTATTTTACGGTAAGTGGTATGACTTGAACAATGTTTACACCGGGAATATGAAGCGTTGGCAAATCCAACATCGAAAGTTATTGTAATAATATTATACTAAATATTGTCCGCAACAGATATATATTCCAGGGGAGAGGTAGAAATGAAGACCCCGTCTTGGCTGGGGCTTTACCTCAAGCTTTTAAGGTGGTGTCACTTTGCAAAGCATTCCTCACCGTTCTTGCTCAATGACGTGCTCTATCCGGGGGCTCATCTGGCTCAAGGAGAGGGGCCCAAAGCGGAAGCGAGTGCAGCGCGATTGCAGTGCAGGGATGATCTTGGACAGGTAGTTGCAGATGAGGCAGAACCGAGCATTCTCTGTGAACTTCTCAATCACTGCACACAACGGGAAGGAAAAGGCAGGCTCACTGGAAACGTAAGCAAAAGGGCACGTAGAGACTGCTTTGCAGCGAAAATACGAAAGCAGTATTTACACGTCCTAGAAGACAGAAAGTGCCTCTAGGCACGGTAAAACAGAAACTAACTGGAGCTGTAAAAGGTTTAAGCATTTGTTATACTGACACGAACACAACTTTATAATGGGAACACAACAAACTCTATTCACTTCCTTCTGTGATCTGTCAACAGCAATGCTGAAACGCCATACTAAAAAGATGTTAGTGAAAAGCTGTTCTTCCAGTAAGGTAAAAGCAGGTATATATACTACCACTTACCTCTTCGGAGAGCATTCTGTGCATCATTTGTCATGGCGTCGGCCTCATCAAGGATGATCAGCTTGAAACCGGACCTGGCAGAAACATGCCTCAGTCACTAACTTCCCGAGCAAACAGAAAATAATGTGGCTTACTTGAATATTGTTTTTGTGCTGGCAAAGTTGAGTATCTCTCCTCTGACAATGCCGATTCCTCTGTCGTCCGAAGCGTTCAGCTGAAAGTACAGCGCACCAAATCATACCGAGTCCCCACCACGTGCCTTAGATCCCACCCACCTCCAGAACCATTGAGCCAAACTCTTTTGGACCGTAAATTTGTCGCGCGCATGCCAAAATGGTTGACGTTTTCCCAGTGCCTGGTGGTCCATAGAACAACAAGTGAGGCAGTCTGTCTTCATTAATGAATCTGTTGACTGAAAGCAAGAGAGTAATAATTTGTCAATACCAAGTTGGGGCAGCTAACTGTGATGTAAATGTGGTATGTTCTCACATTCTGCTAACCACAATAACCTAAGCAGACAGATTTGATCACGAAAAAAAAGACACATCAGTCACTTTCACCGGGTGGCATTCAAAACGCCGAAAATCAAAATGCCAAAAATCAAAATGCCAAATTATGGAAATGCCGAAATTTAAAACACCAAAAATTCAAAAAGCAGAAGTCAAAACATTGAAACATCAAAATGTTGAAACATCAAAATGCTATCACCTAGTTATAGTGGAAGATAAAGTTTCTAGGCAAAATAAATTTTCTTGGCAATGTGATCAAAGTTAGGGGAGAGGTTCCGCCGACCAATGTGCATGCGCTTTTGCCCTCTTTTGTAATAGCCATGAAAGGTTGTCCCCGAGTATAGCTTCCCTTCCCATGGTTCAAGCCTTTGAGAAATGAAAAATATATTTCTGTATATATCGTCGCTTAGCAGAACGATTCCTTGTTTATTGCATTTTAGACATATAAGTTGTGTGCAATTCCTCGAAGAAAGCTCAGAATGTCAACATTGTCCCGGTTGCCCAGAGCAGCTGCCAAACGATTTTCGCGCAACTTTTGCTTCTTACTTTGTGAGTGGCAGGGTTGGCCTCTGATAGCTCCCTCCATGTCGTCTTCGACTCTAGCTTGCTCCCTTTTCATGGTGCTGATAAGCCGAAAGACGCTTACGTGGTGTCCGCCAACCAATATCTCCCATCGTTGGTGCCATGCCTCAACGGCATTGTTGCCCCTTAAAAATTTGTTCTGAGCGAGGGCAAGCACATTCCAGAGGGATGGCGGGAATACCAGTGGACTTCGTACGATCATGGCGGTGTTACCTCCGGCAACATGGCGGCTTCATTTCCCAAGCAGGTAGCTGTCGTCCCACCGTCGCGGCAGGTTAGAGGCTTCTTGCGGGAAGAGTGGTTTCAAGGACGCATAGGCATCTCATACTTCTTCGGTGGGCAAGAACGAAATGGCTGCAAGCTGCCTCACCTTGATGGCAAAGCCACCTACATCATTTTTGTAGAGCACTGCCCGTCCTAGGGGCTGCACTCTCCTCCATACTGATTGGCACAAGTGGAACAGACAACCATGCACATCCGACGATGGGAGTAACGACCGAATAGCGTTGATTGGTGCCAGTTCGAGGTCTGTACTCAAAGTTTTTAAATCTGCACTACAGCACTTCTTCAAAAAGTGTCTCGTACGCCATCTGGGTTCGTCGAGTCATTAGGCAGTAAACAAAAGGGAACACATGGCCACGAAGATAACCGTGAATTGCGTATAACTGTTCGAAGAGCGGCGACACAGTCTTAAATGTTCCGTCCACGAGCCACATCGGAGCGTCGTTCAGTTTCCTCAAGTTGTGGTCCGTGAAAAAAATTAGGAGTCAAGCTCCATTTGTGTTGGTGCTGTCGCGCACCGCAGAAACTCCCGGTCATCTAAAGTTGTTCTGAACTTGCCCTCGATGATGAGCTCCTGCACAGCAGACGGCTCGTGCGGGCAGTCCGCTTTCCTCTTCCTCCTCACAATCTGGCACAAGGCTTCATTGCTTGGAAGGTGCTGCCTTGGAAACGCTGCTACATCTGCTGTGAGCTGCTCCACAATCTTCACGGGTGCCTCGCACAAGGCCGCCGCCAGAGCTTTGATTTGTTCTTGAGTATGAAGAACTGTAACTCTGCAGATGTCCAAAGCATGGTTTGTATGGGTCACTGTCTTCGAAATAATCTTGTGAATACCTTCTATAAGAAGGTCGGTAATCACTCTAGCATTGCATTCGCCTCACTTTACGCACCTATAATAGTGTCTAGAACCTACTTTCTTGTCAAGCACAAAAACATAGCCGTCTTTGCACCTAAGTTTTGCTTTTCCCTTCTGGGAGCACACCACAACCGCGTCTGTCCATTTCCCTCCGAATCAATGAAATGATTACTGCCGCACATTGCTGCTGCTCTTGTACTCTCAACACTGGGCAGTGCTGTTTTTTTTCTGCTGACCAATAAGAGCTGTCCTGTCTGACTGCTATGCCTAGCTTTACGACAGATAAAAAAATATGAAATTTAACAACAGTTTAATCTACTGATACTTGTGCCTTTGCGAAACGAGTCATACAGGATCGTGTCAGTGGAAAGTGATCTGGTGGAAAATTAACAAGTGGTAGTCACAAAGCTCGTAATTTCTTTTACACATGGTTTTTGGCGTTGTGTCTTTTCGGCATTTTGATTTTTCAACATCTTAATTTTTCGGCATTTCAATTTATCGTTGTACTGATGTTCGGCCTCTTGATTTTCGGAGTTTTGATAGGGACCAACTTTCACCCCTTAACCCCTCGCGGTCACTTGCTGGGGATGCCCCGACAAAAAAATATTCCAGCTCTGGTCAAGTGTGGGGGCTCCCCCGACGTGCCCATTGCTCCATTATGGTCAAGTGTCAGAGGCTTCCCGGCAACTTTAACTTGCCACATCTTCCATTGGGAATGTAAACTAGGCTTTCTTAGTTATTTATCTCTCCGCTAGGTACTGTGAGCATTGTGACGCACATTTTTTGGCGAGATGCATGGCTAGGCGTTTTGGGTGCACTTTTACGATTTAATTAAGTAGCGTTTACTCCGTCCCAGTACCACAGTCAAAAGTCAATTTTGCCCGGGTGTGGGGGACAGGAGGTGCCAGCATAACTGGAGGATTTCGGAGAAGGGAGAGGGTCTAAGTTTTCAGTATCCCGCCCCCTCCCCTTGGAAACATTCTGCTCCGTCCACATTTTATGGAAAATCCTTCAATGAATAGAGTGGAAGCAATTGTGATTTCAACGGAGAAGACACCTGTGATACTAAAAAGGTGTCACATATGCTCTCTGATGAAGCATCAGAAGATGACAGTACCGAAAGTAGGGAAGAGTCATGTACAGATGGCGTCTTTTCTCCAAGGTGGACATGCTACTTGGACTTAGATCAAGACTTCAAAACCGACCATTTTACGGCGAGTTTCAAAATCAAGCACAAGGACTGCGTCATCAGCACTGAGAAGAAAACCGAACAGCAAAAATGCAAAACACACACTCGTTATCCTGGCCTGCACCCAGGTGACAATTTTGAGAAGTACCACACGCTTCGTAAGTACTGCTAGCTGTTCCAAGAATATGCCCAAAACCATCCAGGAGTATGCAGAGTTGTTTCCAAGTGATTGTATCACTTGTATTAAATTTAAGAGTTCAATTTACAGTCTCTCGTTAGTTGGATCATTTTTTGCATAAATTAATTTTGACCAGAGGCCAAAGGGTCTAACAAGGGGGCAGAAATTAACATATAAGTCGAAGGAACAGAAAAAGACAGGATGACGTCTCAATTAAGACGTCGCCTTGTCCTTTTCTGTTCCTTCGACTATGGTCATTTCTGCCCCAGTCTCAGGTTTATTCAACACGGTTAACATTCAGCAGCTCGCCTGCACCCTTACTATGTCAAGTTTTTGGGTGGGTCATGCCATATTTTTAGTTCCCTCACACTGGTCACTCATAGATTATCTCTATCAGAGGGATATGATTAGTCCCTTTTATTTTATTTTTCATACAAGATTATCTAAAAAAAAATATGCTAAAATGGCTGACTAATGCAAAACTGTAGTAGGTGCAAAGGACAATGAATGCCTGTAGTGTTGTCCCTCACAGCAGAGGTGCGATGGCATCGCGTTGAAAGTAGGCGACAGCCCCGATGGCTCACAGCTGTGCTAACAAAGCGCCTGGTTAATAAGACCGCTCCTTGTTCAGACGTGCCTGCTGGGAGGGAAGTAGTAATAATCGGAAAACGTTGAGCGGAACATACTCGTGCTGATAATGTCTTCGTGTGCAATGAGGTCGTCGAGCTTGTTCGGCCTGTACTTTTCGACCCTGCGAGCAAGCAACAGTATTTAGAATGAGTCATTGACCGGCTGTAACAGCAACAACTTGAATATAATGCGGTAAATCAATACAAACCATGGTAAGTTGGTTCTGGTTTCTCCTTTCTCTCCCATCTTGTTTTCCCGCGAGATTGACCAGCGTTCCCAGTGTTTGCGACGTTCGCGATTGCATGATGCCGTGGAGTCATGTGTCGACAACATTTTGTTTAAAAACACTATACATTTTGTTTAAAACTAATATAAAGTAAACACTAGTAAACTAAGAATAATAATGTTGCAAAATAAAATTTATATAAAACAAATTAAAATATTTTTTAAATGTTTTTTATTTATTTTTTTATAATAACTGTTTGCTCTCACCATATAGGGGGCAAGTAGGGGGCGCTAAATTCAAGATGGACGCGCCCTGCGTCTATGTGAGCCGGGGTTCTCGCGGTCATCATGGTGAGGTGATGCCGGTGATACGATATTTCTCTACGTTATCCGTTCTCGCGGACGTTTTAAGTTTGTTGTTTTAATTAATATATGTAGCTTTAGCACCTATAGATTGCATTTCTCGCGACTTTCTGTATGCCACGTGAGCTGCATTAGTCGTTTGTGTCTACGTTGTTCTTGGGGACTTCGCAGCTCGGCGGACCATGTCCACGACTGAACTTCAGGAGGTAACGTAGCTTATTGACGTTAATCACGTTTCAAATATTTTACGCAGTAAAATGGACTCGACTATCTCTCTTTTAACATTCCAGGAGGAAGTAGAGGTACTGTTGTCGATCTATGATGGCGACGAGAATTTCAGGAAGTTGTCCCCAACGGTGTTCCAGTACAAGGTAGAGCACGTATGCTCTTGAGCTGTGCTTTGCGCTCAACGGCTCATTTAATTTCAGATCGGTGAACAAGGAAGCCCGAAATCGTTTCTGTTCGAAGTATCGTGGCCCGAGCGATACCCGAACGAAATGCCAAATTTTAACTTGGAGACGTTTTACAACAAACATCTGTATGTATTCCTTTCAGCAAAGTTTGGACTAGGGAAGCTTACTCTGTTTCTATCTGCCTTTTAATGTGCAGAGCTCAGGATGTGAAAGACGCCATTGTGACCGCACTAAAGGAACAAGTAAGTGCTCGCAATGTACAAACATAACATAATTAAAATATGATATAAAGGAGACAAGGACTAAAAATAACTAAGGCATGATACTAAAGTGCAATTTTAACTCTACGTTTGCAAAAAAAAAAAAAAAGTTACCTACATTTTAGGTTGCTTGTCACTGTCATTTTATCTTTATCCTTATGCCCTGCCACATTTAAATTTTTTATTATATTACAACTTACACCCGCACCGGCGTGTCTCCACCTTTATAACTTATCAATTAACACACACATGTTTCTTCCTTTATGAATCCTTATGGCTATTTGCTTTATGGCGAAATTGCCACTACCTTTTGAGTAGTGCTATACGCACGATGTCGTGCAATGCGACCAAAAATGGCCATACGCACGACTGAAAAATTGTTTGTGTCTCACCTGGTTTACGGGGGGGAGAGAGAGGAAAGGGGAGGGCAAGGCTCGGTTAAACGTGCCCCAGTGACTCGTGCACTAACTTTTAGTGGCTTCAAAATTTAATTATGCACCTGGTCAAAACAAAAAAAAACACTATATAAAACTTGTTAAAGCAGGATGCCAAAGCTGTGGCGTAGCTTCGTGGTAACGTGCCTGCTTCACATGCAGCAGACCCAAAACCAAATCCTGAGGCCTGCTTTTTTTTTCTTATGCATTTGGCGATATTGATGACAAATGCCCTAAGCTATTGACGATGTATTTAAAATATGTTTTCAAGACAACATCGCAGGACGATAGGGAGCCGTAATGTACTACTAAGATGAACTGAATGGCGTCAGCTGTCCACGCTGTGCGTATAGCCATTTCTGATCGAGGCGCACGACATGGTGTGTATAGCAGCACACCCAGCTTTCACCCCCGATGCATTGAAAGGTTTCCAATGAACAAAAGGAAACTTGCTAATACCTCATTCAAAAATGTGGATAGGCCTCGTAGTAATTAATAACTGGTTGCATCGTGAGCCAGCGTAGTTAAAGGGTCATGAAATTAATTTTGGGTTGGGGTAAATAATTTCAGATTGAAATATTACTCATCGCATATTGTTTAGTGGGCCAAAAGAAAGAAGGTAGAAAGTCGAAAGCCTGCATTTTGGTACAAACAATTTAAAACACAGCGGACTATTTCGTATCTCCTCTCTTTGAAAGCTTTCCGCCTTTCACCGTGTTACATCCGTGATATCCAAAGCATGTCAGCCGAACCCAGCTCGCACATTGGACACGAGCACTGAATCACTTTTTAACAATCAATCCGTCAACTAATATTTGAATTTGCCTTCCTGGCTAATGAGTGCCGTGACGGCACTTATCATCGCTTTCAAATGACAAGTTTCATGGTGGGCTTGAAAAAGAAGGTGGAAGCTTGGAGTTATTGTATGGATGCCCAAGCACATCACGAGCACATTATTTCTCATTTTGCTTTTCAGTTGAATAGGAAAGCTAAAAAGGAAAAAGTTGAAAAATCATTTCATGAGCCCTTTAAAGGGAAACTGAAACACTTCTTTAAAAAAAAATTAGATAACGGTTGATTCTAGCATAGTTTTATCCAATGAATCTGAATGTCACGTTTGTTTTCTCCGAAGACGTAACTAAACGCAAGAAAACACGAAAGGCCTTCGACCACTTGTTATGTCATAAGACAATCTTTCGGCCGCCAAGTGCATATCGCTCGAGGGCTGTGCATGCAATTGCAAGCTTGCCAGGTATATTCCCTCGCACTGGCACCAGTCATGATGTCTTTTTCTGCCCTTTTAGAAATAGCAAGAGTGCGTGTGCGTAGGTTTGATAGGTGCTGAAGATGCATGAGAGTGGAGATTCCGAAAACTCCTTTTGTGACATCACGCTCCTGGAAGGAGAGGCTTCAGCGGTACTTCAAAAATTAATTTCTGCAGTCTTCATGCACCAAATTAAAAAAATAATTTTGGTCTTCAAGATCTTAAAGGTTAAATGAAGACGATTTAAGTGTGTTTCCTCAAATACAAAACTGCTTCAGCTTTCCTTTAAGTAATTGAAGGTCAGAAAACATTCTGCATAGAGAGTTAATGCTGGCATGAAGTGGCTCGGTACCACTGACCTCTATTACGAATCAGCCTTAGTATTGCAGCTTGCTTAACCATGAGGGGTACCTCCCTTTCAGGCTGAACTTGAACTGGGTACCCCCATGACCTACACTCTCCTTGAGTGGGCCAAGGAACATGCGGACGAGCTGACCGAGAGGCAACCTGAGCAACCCGCGCCCGTCGACAGGCCCATGGAAGTTGACAGGCCAAAGGTGGGTGGGGACAGGCTTGTGCAGTAGTCACTGAACACTCATGAGCTGAAAAGCTACACAGAAATGCCCAAATGCTCAAGTATCACCGTACCTCAAAATGGCGAACCCCATTGGAAAGATTAAAGTAAACATTTGACAGAGATCTGTCTGGTTGGGAGTAATTAATATTAAAAAATTCAAACACCTACCAAGCCCTTTTGTAGGGACCCAACGTTTTAAGGCCAATTCGGCCTCTTCTTCAGGGGCGACTACGGCTATGGCCGTTGAGGAGCAGTGTCCTTTTCTTTTTCTTCTACGGCGTGTGTCTGGTCTTCTTCTTCTACGGCTCTGCCTTTTTCAATAATGTGACGAAGCCCATTCACATAGGCGGATGGTAAAGCCCCTAGAGATCTGTTGATGTTCTGTGGCGTTGTTTGAATATGCCATGATTCTAGGAACAGTCTTTTTCGAAGATTTGTCTCAACGTCAACGATGCATGCATTGTCGAAGTCAATGCGATGGTCCTTGACGTCGCAGTGCTCAGTGACCGTGCTACGCTCGTGATCGAACTTGCGCACATCGTTTTTATGTTGACGGATTCTCTTTCTAAAGTTTTTCGTTTCGCCGATGTATGAGGCCGCGCAAACCCCGCACGGAATCTTATATACAACGCCTTGGGCCCTTTCTTTACCAGGGCAATCTTTTGGGCGTGGCATGAGCCGTCCAAGGGTAGACACAGGTTTGTGCGCTAGTTGGATACCCTCTTTTGCAAGCACACGTGCCAGTGCCTCGCTTGTTCCGTTCATGTAGGGAACGCTGATACGGGAGGTTCGGCGGAAATTCGCACTTAACTGTTGCTGCACGTGTCGTTGATTTCGGCCTTCACGGCGGGCAACGCGATGGATGAAGCTGCTCGTGTAGCCATTTTTCTTAAGGTCAGCAATGACGGTTTGTTCCTCCTTTCTTTTGTCCTCTTCTGATGAGCAGATGGTCTTTGCCCTGGTTAAGAGTGTCCTGACCACCGACGCCTTATGATTGGCTGGGTGGCTGGATTGAAACTGGAGGTAGCATCCAGTGTGCGTCGGTTTTCGGTATACAGAGAATTTTAGCTGTTCCTTTTGCTGTTTTACTAGCACGTCCAGGAAAGGTAAGGTGCCGTCCTTTTCACGCTCCTCAGTGAACTGGATGGCCGGCTCGATGGTGTTGAGATTCGCCAGGAATTTGTCCACTTCAGATTTTGCCAGGACGCAGAAGCAGGACACAGAAGCAGAAGGGCTTGGTTGGTGTTAGAATTTTTTAATATTAATTACTCCCAACCAGACAGATCTCTGTCAAATGTTTACTTTTAGATCTTTACGCATTGACTTCGGAGAGGAGACAGCGCAGCTCGCTAAACGGTATGTGAATATTGCTCGGAGCATCTCTATTTTCAAGACTCACCTGGACTTTACGGTTGCCTGCCGGGACTCCCATGTGGTTCCCCAAAGCCTTCGCATTAAGCACCTCGTTCATACGCCGGAAGGACACAAGATCCTCGAGCAGGCTGAGCGCCGTCTCATTAAAGCCGGCATCCACGAATGCCACGCCACTTTAAAGAAAAAGAAACTGGACTTTTTTTTCACTCGACGGCAGCTAGAATACAGCATTCCAGACGTATTCCCATGTCTACAGTCTTTCGCCGAAAGTGTCGCCTCCACTGCTGCTGAAAAACAGCAAGTATCTCAAGGCAAAAAGTTTTCTAGGCTGCAAAACAGACAAACAACACAACGCAGCACCAACACCGCTAGTTTTGTCACGAACCTCTCGTCCAGGTTACTCTCCCCTTGTGAGATTAATGTATTAGCCAAGGGCCATGGGTTTAACATGACCACAACAAGGCCGCCTTTGCCAAAAATGGTCGCAGCCCTTGAAGACGGCATCGCGCGCATGAATCCAAGCTCTCGCGAACGATCCCGACAAAAGGTGATCGGCATCTTGCTTGTCTAAGATACCGCAACATCAGCAACACAACCTACCAAAAGAAGAAGTAAAAGCACTTTGAGCGCTTCGAGAAGATGACAAGATTGTGCTCCTTCCAGCCGACAAGGGCAACTCGACTGTCGTCTTGGACCGTGATGACTACGAGAAAAAGGTACACAATCTTCTTGATACTTCCGCTTATAAAAAGCTGCCAAAGGACCCTACATCACAAGTTCAGTCAAGAATGAACAAAGTTCTAGCGGACATTTTCAAGAAGCACCCTGATTCAAGAAGCCTCCACCTGCGACTACTCTGTAGGAATGGATCTGCTCCAGGCTTGTATGGTCTTCCGAAGATTCACAAGCCTAGCGTTCCTCTTCGGCCTATTGTAGATTTTACCACCTCGCCACTTCGTGCTCTTTCCAACTATCTTCATCGCACCTTTTCTCCTCTTGTGGGAAATACGACGACCTATGTGCGAACGATACCATGGTGAGGACACCATGGTATCGTTCGACGTCATCTCGCTTTTTACAAGTGTTCCTGTTCCCCTGGCAGTCGCCACGGCTAGGAACGCTTTAGAAAAAGACAAAAACCTCAGCGACAGAACGAACCTCAGCGTGGATGCACTGTGCCGCCTCCTTGAGCTCTGCCTCGGCAGTACATATTTCAGCTTTAGGGGGGAGTTCTTCAAGCAGACCAGTGGGACCGCGATGGGTGCTTCCATCTCCGTCACCACGGCAAACCTCTGCATGGAAGCTATTGAACAAAAGGCACTGCAGTCATTATCTACACCACCCAAGATTTCCTTGCAGTATGTAGATGACTGCTTCTGCGTCCTGGGAAAATCTGAAGTGGACAAATTCCTGGCGCATCTCAACACCATCGAGCCGGCCATCCAGTTCACTGTGGATCGCGGAAAGGACGGCACCTTACCTTTCCTGGACGTGCTAGTAAAACGGCAAAAGGAACAGCTAAAATTCTCTGTATACCGAAAACCGACGCACACTGGACGCTACCTCCAGTTTCAATCCAGCCACCCAGCCAATCATAAGGCGTCGGTGGTCAGGACACTCTTAACCAGGGCAAAGACCATCTGCTCATCAGAAGAGGACAAAAGAAAGGAGGAACAAACCGTCATTGCTGACCTTAAGAAAAACGGCTACACAAGCAGCTTCATCCATCGCGTTGCCCGCCGTGTAGGCCGAAATCAACGACGCGTGCAGCAACAGTTAAGTGCGAATTTCTGCCCAACCTCCCGCATCAGCGTTCCCTACATCAACGGAACAAGCGAGGCACTGGCACGTGTGCTTGCGAAAGAGGGTATCCAACTAGCGCACAAACCTGTGTCTACCCTTGGACGACTCATGCCACGCCCAAAAGATCGCCCTGGTAAAGAAAGGGCCCAAGGCGTTGTATATAAGATTCCGTGCGGGGTTTGCGTGGCCTCATACATCGGCGAAACGAAGAACTTTAGAGAGAGAATCCGTCAACGTAAAAACGACGTGCGCAAGTTCGATCACAAGCGTAGCACGGTTGCTGAGCACAGCGACGTCAAGGACCATCGCATTGACTTCGACAATGCATGCATCTTTGACGTTGAGACAAATCTTCGAAAAAGACTGTTTTTAGAATCATGGCATATTCAAACAGCGCCACAGAACATCAACAGATCTCTAGGGGCTTTACCATCCGCCTATGTGAATGGGCTTCGTCACATTATTGAAAAAGGCAGAGTTGTAGAAGAAGAAGACCAGACACACGCCGTAGAAGAAAAAGAAAAGGACACTGCTCCTCAACGGCCATAGCCGTAGTCGCCCCTGAAGAAGATGCCGAATTGGCCTTGAAACGTTGGGCCCCTACAGAAGGGCTTGGTTGGTGTTCGAATTTTTTAATACCCATTGGAAAATCGTTAGAATTTATTTTTTGGGACTTGCGGTATAAAATATTGAGTTGGGAGCTGTACAGGCAGCTGTCGCTCGACAACTGTTCCATCCAAAGAACCCACCTCAAGCCAGACCTTGTGGTTACAGAAGCTGTGCTTGCCTTCTCGGTCCCTATGTTGGGATTTTAAAAAAATTGGTTTTCATTTGTGGACAGAGCATAGGCTCTCCGTTACGTAAGGAAGCCAAAAAACAAGTTTTTAATTTGGAATTGCATTCTGACCGAAGCTAATTAATTTTTCGGGTTCGTCCATGACGTTTGCGGCGCGTCACATTACCTCATGTCATGCGACTTCAGAGTGTCACATGCCCCGTGATACGAAGTCGCGATGTCATAGTGTCAACGACGTTATTGATCTCCACATTGTCTATGGCAAATGCCCGTATCTACCACTAACGTAGACAAGCCAGATTGTCCATGGAAGGGGCCTTGGAACGTCCTGAACCTTAGGTGTCAGGTCGTGGTGTAATGTGACATCATGTCATGTGACTATGTCGTGCGACATCGGGTCATGCGACATCGGGTGATACCATGATTGGATGCTGTGATCTGACCTGATCCTGTCACAAGAGACACTGTGACACATGACTTGACCTCACTGGACATTGTGACCTTACATAGTGTGCTAATAAAAAGAGTCATGGAACCTACCGGTTCTCCTACATTTTAATTTAGCATATGATGGTTTGATTAAAAAATAGAAATAAAGCTGTCAATGGGTTATGACGATCTGAAAAATATAAATTAAGCTGCCAATGTGTTTACTACCACCATATCTGCTCAAAATAATTCTTTGATGTGCATAACCGACAAAAAATGCATTGTATTTCTTCTCCATGCACTAGCAGTCACATAAACAATTGGAGAAAAATGAGCAGTGTCAACTCGCGGCCAGAACAAGTGGAAAAGTGATCTGCCGCCAGCCGTATATGCCGCCATCATTCATCATAGCCACGTGCTGGTGTTCTTCAGGCATAAAGCACAGGCTGTACTAGAACATTTCTAGAGCTTAGCTGTTCCCGTTACCGCAACAATAGACCTTTTGCAAAAATTGCAAAAGACAGCACGTGAAGTCCTGTGTGCTTCTTGCCCCTCACCATCTACAACGTGGCACTAAAGAGAGAGGAAGCTAGCACAGTGGCTCGCGTGCCGTCGCCTGCTCGCCAACATTTTCCTTGTCACCTCAGTTGTTTGCTACAACTGGTTTTGTATTTACCTTTCCCAGCATTTCTTTCGGCATCGCAGAAGGTGCTGCGTGTTTTGCAACAGGTTTATTGAACATGAGCTCCAACCCAAATGTCCTCCAACGCTTGACTGATGGGCTATTGCTGCTATATACAGGGCAGTAACAAGTGCATCACCCCACGGTGCTGCTACTATCATGAAGGGTTTACTTCTTGAAGCAGCAGGCCACACCATTATTCACTGCATGCCACCTAGAGTCAGCTCTTAATATATTTTTGCACTACTGGAGCACATTCTTAGTTGTTGCAGTGCAGCACAGCTCATGAAACTTCAGTGCTGGACCCCATGCTCTACCTGTCTTTTATAGCCATCTTACAAACACTGCAAAATGCCTTAATAATGATTGTACAAAGCTTGAACATGTCTTGAACCCGCCACATGACATCTAGTGATTAGATGATGTTATTGCCAAAGCCAAGGAACCTCCCATATTTGTTTTCTGGGAACAAGAAACATATCATTGTTACGTGTTTCACACTTTAATGCCAGCCCCAACTTGTGTCGAGACACACTTTGACAGACAGTGTATCATTTTCACTTTCTCCTTGTCACGTTAAGCATGCTGCACCCCATCATGTGCATTGGTATCAAAGCCTAACCGACCCACTGTGTGCAATGCTGCTCCCACAATGGCAAAGATCATGACCTCCTCCCATTGATCTACAGGGTGTTTCTTTTCAAGCTTACCAGATTTGTTTAAAAAAGGTTGTGGATGCTGCAGTTTGTGCAGGTGGGTTATACGGCCAAGAGGAGATATATCGCAATGTAGGCAGCTAATCACCACGATAAGTCAAATAATTGGCCAAAATTTCTTAATTAACTTTTTAACTTGTGAAAATAAACCTATGGTTTCAATTAGCAACTTGCCGGGCATCATTAACTACTAAATCATTTAGAAAGACCGAGCATGTGGGAACCGCAGTAGTGCGCTAAACTTGCCACTCATGCAACAGGCACAAGGCCACAAGAGATTGAAAAACCGTGTGGGCGTGCCTTGCTCCTGCTGCACGAGCGGTAACTTTAGCAATCCAGCGTGCTTCCCACATACTTCAAGTATTTCTAATATTGACTGAGTTAGTGGCTTTTGAAGATGCTCTGCAAGTGACTATGACTATTTTCATTAATTATGAACCATATGACTATTTTCATTAATTAAAAGATTAATTCACGTTTTCGTTAACTAGCCGACTGATTGTTACAACTAACCCTTTATACTATGCCCCCCCATATAGCTCACCTGCGCAAACTGCATTACTATAGCGTTCGTGACCTTTTTTTAAAAAATCTGTTAAGCTTAAATAGAAACACCCTGTATATAAGCTATGGTGATATTCACATTTATAACGATGGGTCAGCATCTAACAAATGGTTGACACACACTCAGCCACATGTGCGAGCACACATTTGCAAGCGGACATGGCTCGCAGACACAGATGGAGTGCATTTTGGAAATGGTTTGCATTGTCAAGCCGGGTTGCGTGTAACCTGGGCACATTCGGCTGTGTGCGGACATTTGTTTCTGTGTGCTCATTTCTTAGTGTGGTTATATAAACACGTATGAATATGTGCCTAGTTGCACATGGGATAGGGCATGTTTCTTTATGTCTGTGTGTATGCAAGCTTATTAACACGTGCTTGTGTGCGCATGATTGGTACACTGCAAGTTTGGTGGTGTTAGCCGTCGTGCATATTGCTCCCCACGGCCACGACAGCTATAGTCTGTTGCAGCGCAAGATCACGGATGTTCAGTAATGCGCCATTTCCGGCATTGTTCTATCTAGAAGCAATAGAAATGATGTGACACACAAACACAATGAAGAGGGTGCTTGTGGTACGACTTGCAGGAACCAGAAGCAGTAGCCAAGAAGGAGGTCAAGCAGCCCAAGCTGAGTAAAAGCCAAAAGCGGAAACTGGCAGGGAGGTTACTCCCCACCGGAGAGCTCCCGCGAGGTCACGACTGGGTCGACGTGGTTAAGCACCTCTCACAAACTGGGACGGCAGCAACGTGACACTAGCGTGCCAAGTGTACTCGCAGGGGGGTGATCCTCCACCACCAGCTGGAAGCAAAATCCGAAACTCTTCCAATCACTTTCATGTTAATATTGCGAAAGAAATCACAACCTTTGGACGACTACAATGTCATTTCCTCTGTTTCCTGCCTCTGGCCTGTATTGAACTTGGCTTGTTCATGATCTAGTGACAGGAAGAATGTGTGGGAAAATAAAAAGAAATATATTTATTTGTGGCAACTGTCTGGGTCCCACGTAATACCTTTGGCCATAATTGTGTTGTGTGTATGTTTACTCAGCCAGAAGTTACTGTATTTACTCACATAATGAATGCACCCCCACTACAATCGTCTACATTTTTCATTTTCTTCTCCTGCGCATAATGAACACTTATTTCTTGGCTCTGCGAGTCTTGAACTGCGCCCAACCCAGTCAGACGCAAAGTCAAGTAAGTCGCCAAGCGGCCAGGTCAATTCAAGCCAACCCCAGCGTGGCAGTAGGCGCATGCATTATGGCAAGTAGAAAGTTGCAGAAGCGATCAACAGCGTGACTGAGGGATGCACACAGCGAACAAAGATGTGGTCGAAAAATGGCCCAGGTGTTTTGTGTTTTGCCCATCGAATGCATTAGTGTCAACAAAAACGCCGTCGTCCGTGGTCTGCTTTCGGATAGTGAAAGTGGTTAGGCCTAGGCATGCTTGCGTCACTCTCCATGCCGAGGTAGTTTCGTTGGGTGCTTTTTCTTTCGCAAAAACAATGCTGAAGGCACCCTTAAATAGGGTGATCATATTCCTCAAGGTAGAAAACGGGACATCCCAGCGCGGGGGGGGGGGGGGGGGGGGGGGGGGGGGTGCCGCTTTAAAGATTGAGTAATGAAATAACAGCTCCCACTTCAAAACGTTACCATATTGCACAAAGCCCTAGGGCCTAGGGGACAGTCCCACTCACGGTTCAGTTGCATGCACTCATTTGGAAGGTCCTGCTTCGGGTCCTTCGTTGGTGTGGGCGTATTTTGCCAAAGACTGAAGTTTTCTAAGCGGGACTTTATCATGCAAGACTCGGCTGTAAAAGTCTGCGCACATATATAGAAAAAAAGAATTATGTCCCGAAAAAAAAAGGGACACGATTCTTTATTGGGACAAAAAGACGGGACGGCAGAAGCGGACCTCAAAAATGGGACTGTCCTGGCTAAAACGGGACGTCTGGTCACCCTACCCTTAAATAAATCTGCAATAGACCTGTTGCAAGACGTGCAGCATCACGAAGGCAGGGAATTTCGGGAACCCTCGGTACAGATTATGCGCTTTCTCGTTACGACTGCGCACGCGTCCCGGCAGCTACTGCCAGCAGCCGTTGCAGCCATCCGCCGTCCCGCCCATCCGCTGAGTCGTACGTCGTTGGCGGCGTACCGTATCTGTGGCAGCGTAAAGGCATCGCAACAGGTTAACTTATTTGCATGTTATTCGTCGTAACTTACTTTCACATATTGAAGTGTCACCAAATCCAGTTATTTTGCACCACAACCGTGGCAGGTTTCGACCAGGTTCAACAAAGCGTTAGTGCAGCAGACTACAGAGCCGGTACAAAGGAGAGGGATGAGAAAGGGGCAACCGTTGGCTCATCGCTTGTCCGACTCAGCTGCTCAAATGTTGTTGCCGTGGTAACCGGCACCTGCTCGCGTATGCCACGTGGTAGCGGGAGGAGAGACGTTGAGAGGGGCGTACCGAGGACTCCCATTATTTGCCGCGCGCGCAAGCTTTTGAAAAGGTTCTATTCATAGAGCTGTAGTGCACCCATGACCAGCCGTGTGTGCACCTTCGTCAATGGAGACATGCCACAGTAATGCCCCTGTTAGATGGATACCTAAAATGACATTTATGCAAAATGTATAGATGTGCAAATTTCGCCCACCACACTAGACCCCGAATATGCGTCAATTTTTCGGGGAAAAGGTGGGCGCTCATTATGTGAGCAAATATGGTAGCCAGCCTCAATGGACATCTGGTGTATCAGCTGTGGATGAGAAATTCAGCCAGTGCAGTATGACTGCCACCCTGGGGTCTTTACTGTGCACCACGCAGTAGTGATACACGACCACAAGCCGGTACAATGCTCATTCAGTTCGAAACGGGCAGGGGTGGGGATCAAACCCAAGATCCCTGGGTTCTGCAGCGCAAGCTTTTGCTCCACGTGCTCAAGCTGGTGTGCGCTAGCCAACTCGGCCAGCGATCCCCCCTTTGGCCATGATGGAAAGCAATAAATCCTAGACTCACTTGTTCATTGGAATAGTTTATGTTTCAGGGTGCATTTCTAAATCAAACTTGATTACACATGCATCGAGGAATTGTTGCAACGAAGAAGCAGCTTTAAAACAATTGTAAGGGAAATCATTATAATACAAATACTGTGGACCTAATATTTGTCTAATTACTCGTCTCATGCAATGAACAGCACTTATTTTAAACAAAATGCAGTATCACAATTTAAGCCCAGCACTGCTCAATACTATTAATGCAGCAAAGCAAGGGCAAGTGCTATCTAGATGTCATGATGTAGCTGACCATTTTTAACGAGGCACCTTTACCCTTCCTCCCACACCAATAGGGTGGAGGAAAATGTTACCTTTCACTCCAGGGTTAAAGAAAAAGATTCAAATGCTTAAACTGCACAAATTATTGTTCCTTCCACCATTGGTATGTCACTGGCTCTAACTTGGCATATTTTATGAGACTAGGACAGAGCACTAGTGAGCAGATCAGTTTGATTTGAAAAACTGAAAAGCAAGCACTGAGAAAAGGTATTACATATCACACACATAAATTATAGAAATAGAAACAGGTTTCATATAATTGTTCAAATTCCCAGTGCAAGAGTAGTAACGATGTGCTATCATCAACTGTATGTTGCGCTCAGTTGGCTCCAGAAGCACTGGGACAAGGAGGGGGGGTGTGATCACACTCCCAATTCTTTCAGACATACCCACAAAACAATTTAAAAGGGGAAGAAAAAGTCCCCTCCTCCTCCCTTTCCTTGTCTCCCCTCATCTCTTGAACACTTCAGATGCCCCTGGTTGGCACTATAAGAAGGCTTTAACAAAGTACCAGCTCTGGACTAACGAGATGCCATCAGTCATTAAGCAACCATGACAGGTAGTTATGTACAGTAAAGAGTCACATTGTGGCACAGTTCCGTATTCGTTCACCATCCACATATGGATGTACCCAGTCAAAACCACGCGAGGCTGGGGTTCTTGCGATAAGTCTGGAACCAGACGGCAAAGAAAAGAACCGCCAGAGCCAATGCCCCCTTCCGAGCACCAGTTCCTGCCACCAGAGCACCGACATAGCGAGCGAAGCGCCACATGGGGCCGTGTTGCGGGGGTCGCCGTGGCGGAGGGTGTGAAAGGTTCAGCCGTTTCTTCCGAAGCGCCTGCTCGGCCTGAAGATGGGTTGGTGGGTACTGTTCGAGGAGGAGCCTTGCTCGCAGGATGAGCGCCTCGAAGGGCAAGTCCCCCTCGACCAGACGCGAGAGGTAGCAGTGGACGGGCGCCAGGTCGCACTCCAAAGCGAGGATTTCTTTCTCGGCATGAAGAACGATGGCTGCAGAAAGGTAGACGGGCATCCACGAGTGGCTGGACAGGAAGAGGTCGAAGAGGCGCACCACAGTGTCGTAGTCGGCGAGGACGTGCCCGAACCACGTGATGACCCAGCTGAGGCAGAACATGATGCCCACCTGCGCCCTCTCGAGGAACTTACACAGCTCGGGGTTCTCGTGAGCCAACAACGGGTAGATGTGCTCCAAGAGGTCCGCCGTGCGCGCCATCGTCTTGTCCATGAAGCGGCGTAGGTTTGAGCAGGACAGTTTGTCGACGAGCAGGAAGCCTACTTCTTCGCCTAACACGAGCAGGATAGTGACGCAGATGTCGTGGTAGCCCTGGTAGTAGTGCAGCTCCGGGTTCTTCATCAGCACCCGCATGATCATGAACACAAGCTTGTCCTGTAGCGCGATGCGCTGGTTCTCGGCGATGCTGGGCGGGAACCGCTTGAGCGACCGCTTCACGTCCAGGACTACCTGAGAGTAGTAGGCGTGCTGCGTAATCTCCTCCATGGACGGCCTCGGCGACGTCTCGTAGACGCTCACACCGCCGATCTTGGGCCAGACGAGCCGCCGGTAGTCGTCGCACAAAAGGCCCCGTTCGTTCACAGCTGCTATCTTGAGACCCGCCGTGCTGCCGTCCGCAAGGGACCGCTCAATCATTCGCCGTTTGCGGAGTTGCATAGCCCGTTCGAACGCCCTCTCTTCCTCGGATATTATCTCTTTTTTGGCGTCACCGTCGTCATTCTCGGACTCGCTGCCTAGAGCCTGCTCAGACTCTGGTGCAGGATCTGTCGAGGCTGCGGAGTCCACGCTGGACGCTGTCTCAGACATGAGTTGGACCTGCTCGGGGTCTCCTACAGCTCCGAGAGGCTCGACGATGCACACCCCACTGCTCATATTGTGCGGTTCACGGAGCAACAAAGCGGGGGAGGCGAACTCACAAATTGTTTTCGCATTCACTGCCTTCAGCACGTAAATCACGATCGAAAAGGTAGTAACAGAACCAGGGAAGAGCAAAAGCGGAACCAACAGCTGAGGCGGAAGCTACTGACTCTAGGCGGAACTAGGCGAAACGGCCGAAATTGCCGAAACCACGGCGGAACAGCGAGACGACGGAAGCACAGACGCACAGACGGCACAGACTTAGAGGGCACCAAGCCATATCCTTATCCTAGCCAACACTAGCCAACTCAGCGACGGCGGCGACAGTGGCGGCAATGGTGGTCGTTTTTGGACGGCGTCGGTAGCGTCAGCGGCGCAGCGCCGGATATTTATCGGCGCCGGCATGGCGGCAGTGTGGGAACAGCTAAAGTGAACTCTAGTTCACTTAGGTAATAGGTACAGCGCGGGGTTGGCGAGGTTGCGTTTGGTTGCCCTTGTTGGTTGCAGTGTGTTGGGACCGGAGCGGCTCGGCAACGGGAGGTCGTGAGGGCGCGTGTATTGACAGTTCGTGGCGGCGCTGTAGTCGAGTTATCCGAAAAAAATCGCGCAGCCCTCTTTTTTTTTTCTTTTTTTTTTCTTCTTCACTTTGAGCGGTGCACGTGTCGGTACCAGCAGCGAAAGCTAGAAGCTCGAGCAGCTCGAGCGCTCGAGCTCATAGCGTTGGCAGCTGCCGCAGCTGCCCTTGGTGCACGAGAGCTTGTGCCGCCGAGATGTGCTCGTGCATGTAGCCTTTCCTGCGGTACAACACAAGGTGAAACATAAAAAAAAAAAAAAATCGGTATTTTCAAATCTTTCTTTTTTTTTTTTTTTTTTATGCGGTAGGAAAAGGGTTAATAAACGGTTTAATGGGCCATGTTGCGATTGCAGCTTTAAAGGAAGCCATTATTATAGGCCAACCCAATTTAGAAAGTTTGCGAACAAACAACAAGCTTTGAGCGAAAGCAACAATGCGTTCGTTTTTGTTGTGTTTGTCCGTCCCTTCCCGTTTTCTTCCTCAAGCTTAATTATCTCTACCAACCCGCTCGTTCTGTCCCGAGATATTCACCGCTAAAATTTTGCCTTTCTTCGCTTAATTAAAAAACCGCGGGCTGAAAGCGCGAATGAGGTTGTGCTGATATTGATGCGTAGAAAAAAATTGGGTTGTGTGTGTGTTTATACAGCCTAGAACTTGGTCTGCCTCACAAGGGCGACGAGTCTCCCAGCTGTAGATGAGAAATTTAGCCAGTGCGGTACAGCCGCTAGCCTGGGGTCTTTAACGTGCATCACGCAGTAGTGATACACGACCGCACGCCGGTACGATGCTCATCCAGATCGAAACGGGCAGGGGTGGGGCTCGAACCCAGGATCCCTGGGTTCTGCAGCGCGAGCTTTCGCTCCACGTGCTCCGAGCTGGTGTTTGATGCGTAGAAGAATGACACAGAGCGTGTCTTCGGTGGACTCGCCGGCGCCACACATCGAGACGACTAAGTCACTATTCTACGTATTATTTTCATAATGCGGTTTCTGAATCAAGCGAAGAAAGGCAAACTTTTACGATAAATTTTGCGAAACTCGTTGCCCTTTCGCGAATTGTCGAAGTTATGTTTGCCTTTAATAATGACTCCTTTTAAAACTTCAATTGCACCATGGCCAATTAAGCCATTAATAAACAAGTTAACTAACAGATTTTGGTTAATTATTAAATATTGCAACGGTTATTCACCCATTTATTGCCCACCGAACCCTACAGATATAACGAAAGAGAGCATCCACATATCTGCCATATCCTTTTTTGTAAAATATGTAAAGTTCTGTAAGGAATAAAACAAAAACACCCTGTATGTCTGCGTGAACCAGATACGCCCCCTGTGGAACCATGGGTCTTTCCCTTCGAATACCCAGCTCAGGCAAGACTTACCTGGTTGTCAGAAAGCAGCTGTCGGTTAAATGTATTGTTATGAGCGTGTAGGTTTCAGATGGTTTACCCTCAAGAGGATAATGCGCTGTCTCTTGTATGCACTGCACATTGTAACCATTATGCACTGCACATTGTAACCATTATTTCAATGCCGTGCTGTAAACTATTACAACTTTTTCCTTGCCTGATCTATGTGTGCTCATATTTTCTGCTCAAAATGATGTGAAATAGTTGCTTGTTTTCTTTGAATCTTATAAAGCACTACTTGTTCAGCCCACGTTGTCTCAGTTTTTGGGCTTAAGTTCAATGTTCAAACGCGTGACAAAAATTGTCACGGCTTATAAGCCATTTCTTACAAGTGAACGTCGGGTGCTCCTCGGATGGTCGTGGCAGCCATGAAGAAATAAAAACTTCTCACCCCTTTGTGACCATCGCTTGGGTGGTTCGTCGCATAAATGAACACAAGAATGAGTGACAAGTGAAGCGAGCTGAATAAGGTCAAGAAAAAGAAGACTGGCAGAAAAGAAGACAGAGAAGTTAACCTGGGGTATTAAAAACATACTATAACACTCTCGGACTTTAGTATGTGCCGTTTCGTTCCATTATAAAATAAGATAGGAAAAAAAAAAAGAAAAAAAACTGCTCCTAGTTTTAGATATCCCTTTCAAATATCTAATGTTCGGCCTTTGCGACCAAGGAAATGTTCATTTCATTTCAAATGCTCACCAACCGACAAACCGAAAGTCGCAGCTAATTCTACGCTGAAACAACTTGCAATCCACTTCTTTAAAGTCGCAATTGTTTTTATATAAAGGAAGGGTAATGTAGCTTGTACCGTCCAATACATTGAAGCATCATGTTGCTAATGATCGTGCCGCAGCGTAATTGATGCCGCGGTACGACCGCTGGCAGGTCGTAGCTGTATCAGAAATAAGTGTATTGACAGTTCGTGGCGGCGCTGTAGTCGAGTTATCCGGAAACCAAAGCGGCGCCAAAGGTTCATATTTTCGCACGTGCAGCCGCGCATGCGCACACCTTCTGGATAACGCGCCGGTGTCGACACCTGTCGCGATCAATACCACGCGCTTCAGGCGAGCCCCTCCGGTCCCCAACACTACCCAAGTATTCTAGTACACTGTAGTTAGGTCGGCGTCAGCGTGCGACCATTTTGCGTCGGCAACATCATCCAGGATTTTAAAGGGCCCTGCAACAACGAGGTAGCCCTGCAAGGACTTTTTTTCTGGTTTTTAATTTGCACCGAACCTGAGCGCACTGAACGTAGTAACTTAAAGGGGCCCTGCAAGGACTTTTTTTACTGGTTTTTAATTGAGTGAGACTATTTTGCCGGCAGCCAGCACAATAGCCCGGGAAAAAAAATGTCGTTAGTTTCGGACGGCGCGTGTATCACTGGGGAGCTCAAACCCCAAGAGACGTGGGGACCGCAAAAAAGGTAGACGCAATCATATTTAAAGGGACACTGGCAGGGTATTTATGCTCGCCGAGGTTTTTAGTTGTACATGACATATGAGACCCCAACTACCCAGAACACAATTTGCGACTCGAAATTCGGTTTCTTTCCGCCCGAAAACCGCCGATCAAGAACTGGCCGGTTCGAGTCTCGCTCACTCTCTTTTCCGTGGTCACAAGCCGTTTTCATCGATGCGACCACCAAATTTAATCAAAGTCGTTGGTCACTGAAGGCACACACTCAATATTAAAAATAGAAAAAAATATGAAACCCATTTTTTGTGGCTTCTAAAAAGCTGCAAATACGTTGATTGAAAAAAAAAAAAGTTCCACAGACAACCGGGAGCATTCTGTGCGTGCGTCGTTTCGCGTATCGTGGGACTCGCGGGGACGGCGATGGCAGCGGACGACGGGCGTGGGACCTCTATTTCAGAACTGTCGTTCGCGGTACCGGCGAATTCTGTCTACCGTTAAAAAAAAAATTTGGGACTGATGAAAAGAATTGGTATTCATCCCGTACGACACGCCCGGCCACCAAGCCGATTTGCACGAAGACGTCGCCGAGCCGTCGCTCCCTTCTCGTGGCTGAAGACATCGCTCGCGCAAACGTCAAGCACGACGTGTCTACTTCGAGTTAAATATGCACGCGTACGATTTCTTTACTAGGTGCGAATGTCCCCAAAGCGTGGTGCTTCCCGACTTCGACCCGGAAGTGCTTTTGCTAGAGAAAAATCGACAGCAAACTTTCCAACTTACAGTTTACCGGCTGAATTATTACTAAGGAAAGAGATCCACCACAAACGAGTACTCAGTGGGAAAGACGTCCGGTTCACACGCGGTAGGACTGGGTTCGATCCCCCGTGAAGTATTTTTTATTTTTTCAAACATTTTCTGATGTTTACATATCCTTTTTCTTTTTTTTACCAATCATCACTGAAGAAACAAAAAAAAAAAAAAATAACGAACAAATGTTGTGAACGATACTTCGCTGAATTAAATGGTATCGGATTTCCGTTTTGACACCTGCGAACTCAATGTAATCACTTTCCACAAAATGCAAGGAGCATATAAATCAGGTAGCGTCCGCTTTCCGAGGCGCCCGTATATGTTCTACAGGAATTGCAGCCAGCCATTGGTCCCGATCCCGTTGATCTTTCGGAAACTCTGTCGCACAATGCCACTTTTTTTCGGATGCAGGACATGTGAGCCAGCTCGTCACGCAACATCTTGGGTGTATTCTTTTCGGAGCCGATCATGGAAATTCACCACGGGCACTCACTACTCATCTCCAACTCCTCAATGTACAAAACAACTCATCTTGGAGTATAGAACAACGAGCGGAACAAACATAACTGCAAAAGAATCGCACGGCGAGCAGTTCCCGCACGCCGCATGCCGTGTCGTCTGCTATGGAGAGGAGAAAAAAAACAAAAACACACGGTCGGGTGTAGCCACGTGACTTCCGCCACTCACTCTCCTCTCCACTTCTCCGACCTCCGTCGGGTTTCGGTTTCGGTTTCGAGCAGTTGCGTCTTTTGGCTTTATTAAAAAAATACTCTACGCTGTTGCAAAATATTAATTGGGTAGTCCTCCGACACCATAATAAAGCGCCTGGCAAAAAATAAAAAAAATTTTTGGGGGGTGTCAGTCCTTTTTTGCGGTTTCCACGTCTCTTGGGGTTCGGGCAAGCCAGGGGGCACGGAGGGAGTAACTAAATATCAGTGCGTCATATTTTAACCGGACGACGCGGAAACCTCCTCCACCTACGAGGGCGACCCGCAGTGGCGAAAGCGCGCGGTACGTGAGGTCTTTGGTCCTGGGCTTACTCCTGGTCAGAGCCGCTAAAAAGT